GAAGGAGGGCTTTTCATTTACCTTAATTTTGCTTCTTTTTCCCTGACCAAAGAGAGATATTGTTGGTGTTTGCAGTCATAGTCACTGGGTTGATATTGTTCTAAGAATCATCTGAGATCAAAAATCAAAATTTCTGTGCAGATCAGCTTGTGTTGGATGTGAGAAGTCATGATGGGGTGATGACAAAGGCATGCAAATTATTGTTCTGAATAAGCCCTTGGAGAAAAATGCTATAGTCAAAGAGTGTGAATGTATCTGATAAACCACCACAAAATAGTTAATGAAAAAGAAATCACTGTGGATTTTGTCTCTGTGCTGCTAATGCTAGTGCTTTGTAATTCCGTTTTCTTGCTGGTGAGGCAGTATGATTCTTAGCTTCCCCTGGGAAGGACCAATGCATATTCAGGAAATGTGGAGACAAAAAAGCTGACAGCTGCAGTTGGCCTTTTTAATTATTTTTCAGTTATTCCTCTCATGCATTTTTCAACTTCAAGCAGTTATTTAGGAATTTTCCACCTGGTGACCAATACTGACATGACATACATGCTTGGAGAACAGAGCAAAATTCTTTACTGATTTATCATCTAGACCAACAGTCCTTTTATTGGCTGTGGTACCTGACATTTCTCAGTGCTGTTGATGGCTTAAGGATGTTGTCTCAAGTATTTTGCATACCACCATACAAGATGAAGTGAAAACTAGTTCAGCACATCTCCTTCAACAGCTCCAGTACAGTAGGATTGAAATGATGAGGGCTGATACTTTTTTTTCTTCCTGACAGCCTTTGTTTTGGTTTTTTTTTTTGTTTTATTTTTTGTTTTAACTGACCTAATGAAAGCTCAGCATGTGCTTCAGTCTGGTAGACATATAATGAAAGAAAAGAAGACAAGCAAAGAGACAGTACAGTGCGTACTGGAAAGATACCGTGAGCTATCAGCAATATACTACTGGATAGTACAAGATCACATATATGGTGGTGTATGAATTCATCTGGTTATTCCTGTCTTCTTAGAATCAGCTCTGTTCTCTTATCTGTTCTTAAGGAATTAGATTTTCCCTGTGATACATATTTTTCAGGGTTGTCTGTATAGTTTTCTTCTTCTCTGACCCTCCTGCAGCAGTGCTGGTGTTTTAGAAGGCACTCTGTAAGGAGTGGTCCTAGCAATATCCTTTGGGCCGTGAAAGGATTTGTCAAAAATCATGTGGGAAGCAGTCATTTATTTTAAGTCCTGTAATTCCTGGTGTGATGTGTCTAAGGGATACTCTTGGGTTGCTTTCTTTAAGCAAATTCCTAGCTCATATGGCTGTGAGGAACGCAGGAAATCTAACTAAGGACCATCCTGAAGTTTTTAAAAAAGAGGCAGATCTCAGGAATTTGCTGCCAAAGCCCTTGTGTGTGTAGTACAGAAACTGCATCTCTAGAGCTAGATTGTCCCTAAACAACTATCATTAAGTTATCACTCCCATTATAATGTCTGCAGCCACACTGGCTCCTTTAAGACCTTCTGCAGCCACAAGATTATTTCTGATTTTGCCTGATGATTATATATATGTGAAAGAAGGTAGCTGCATTTTTTAGAAAAGAAATTATAGCAGCTCCATTTCTCATATAATGTACCTTTGTGCTTAAAAGATCCTGCGTAGTGTAGTGAAACACCTAGCTTTGTAGCTACTCCTCTAGTAATACTTAGTCTGCATACCAGTAAGTGTCTCTTTTTGCAAACTGGTAAGATTGTGTGAAAAATATAATCTGCTTTGTCTGCATGTTGTTAGCACTTTATAGCAGTGGAGAATATGCCAGCAGAGAGAGACTGCAGTAATAATTTATGTGGCAGCATATTACCACAGGAAGTAAAATAATATTCTGCTCTTGCACAGGATCCAGATAAAAGGAAAACAAATCTCCAAAGCGTTTTTGTCAGATGTTCATCCAATAGAATTCCCCACAGAAACTCCAACGAGAGATCTGAATAGCTCGCTGTGTTTTCCATTTCATTACCACTCAACACTCTAGGCTGTAAAAATAGGTAAAGATTACTTCATTCTCTTAATAATTGTTAGCCTTTCTAGAAGGATGCAGATGATGAGAAACATACATCTAGAAGTACAGACTATGCATTACATTCCAAGGGTTTTTTCCAGCATTAGTTCTTTAATTCTTCCTTCCCCATAAGCATCCACTCAAGAAAAATACAAGGATTATCTGTAGCAATTGATATTTGTTTCATATAACAAGTAATTAATAGGTAAATGCCCGCTTTGGAACTGGGTCCTCCTGCTGGCCACAAATTCCACTCCAAAAGCCCTTGCAGGCTCGCAGAGGAGCTTGGCTAGAATACAGAGGGGAGCCTGGCGCTTATTGACACCTGTGAGTTCACACAGAGACGGGGCTGCAGAGCTGTGGTCAGCGCAGCGTGCCCAGCACACACACCGCCGGCGGCCTGCAGGCAGCGGGGCAGGGCTACACGGCCCGCGTTGGGCGACAGGCCAGCACTCGGCTGCGGCACGGCTCGCCTGTGCCGTCACTACCGAAGGCACCCAGATACAGCACGCAGAGACTGGTCTGCTGGTCAGCTGCTGCCTAACTCTGCAAGTTAGATGAATTTCTGTTACGCAGGTTTCCCAAAGCACTGTGGTATGGTGTGCCTGCTCTACACCTCTCTTCTGCTTGGTGTACCTGGTTCGTGATACCTAGTCAAAAACTCCGCTGAATTAAGCAGCTAAACCCCCTATCCCCCAAATAAGTGCGCAGACACTGCTATTGCTCCATCTAATCTTATGGTGGTAGTAGAGTTCTGACATTGTTTGGGCTAAGGAAGGAATGCCCACTTGCCTCCATATGGGTTTTTCCATTTATTGTTTTGAAACCGTTTGGAGGTTTTGTGTGGAATTCCCCATGAACTGAGCCAGGGCCAGCAACGCTGAAACCAAGCACTAAAATAAAGGGGGTAAGAAACGCAGGCTCAGCTGCTGTAAATGCTTCAGACTAAATGCAAGACTAAACTTAGCTGCTGCTCCTTCCTTTTACTGACCCCCCCCGATGGATTTTTACCTTGGGTTTAGTGCTGGGTGACTCCTGAATAACGAAGAACCCCCATCACCACGGGGGGGAGTGCATGGTTATTACTCACGCTCTGCCCCGGGAAAGCGGCGGGCAGGGCAGGGCAGGGCCTAGCTTCAGCGGGGGGAGCTCTCCGGCCCAGCGGCGGCCAGGGCGAGCTCGGCCACCCCGGCAGCACGGCGCAGG